TTGTATTACTGGGCTAAATTCATATGTTGCTTGGCAAACCTAAACAGGCTACAGTTAGGGACTTTCACACAGAACGCATTTTTGAGTTTAAAAACATGAGAATCCAGGGTAGTTGGATTTTAAAAAAAGAAAAAAAAAGAAGAAGAAGTAAAAACAACATATAACGCAATACAATACAATGATGCATTGAGCGAAAATAAACAAACGTTCCTCAGAAACTGATGCATCATATTTGATATTTTAGCATGATTTTTCTGATAAAACCAAAGTTTCTTCAGTCCAGCAAGTGATCATTTTGAAATATTACATACAATATAAAAGCTATTCTTATCATTAATTTATAAAAATCAGTAAAGATTTCACAGCAAAAAGACACGTGTACCAAAACCCTTTAGGGAGATGTTTTAAGAATTACTAGAAGGCCTTTTACTTGTTTAAAATAAAATAAAATAAAATAAAATAAAATAAAATAATAAACAGAAAGCTTGTAGTACATTGTGTGCAACAGGTTTTTCAGCTGGCAACAATAGCTCATTTTATTTTTTAACTACCTACATTTAATAATGTCAGCGTTCAAGAACACAAAGCAGGTGGGAATATCTCACATTTACTCGTGAGAGCATGTGTATCTTCTAAACCTCAGGTATAGCCTGAAGTTCAGAATAAAGAGCTCTAGAAATGGCTCAGAACATTGCTAAAATCTCAATATGATATTATTAGTTAATAGTTCTAGAAAATTACTGTGGTTGACTGCACAGTAAATGCTGTGAATGCGGTGTTCACATCTGATTAAAACCATATGGACAGGTTGCCCAACTGGCTCCACATTCCTTTGTGTGAAGGTGGAGAATAAGCAAACAGAACCCCCTGGAAGGCGTGTATCTGTTATCTGGTTCCCAAACATGATGCATTCCAGACTGTGCTGCACGGCCCTTAGTGGTAGTTATACAGAACCCAGGCCAATTTATTTAAAATCAACAATATATTATATACTTCACTATATGCAATTTTTCTTCAGGACCAGATGTAAATTTCTGACCTGTACAATTGATATTTCTCATTCTTTCGAAAGAATCCTGTTTGGTTAAAAGACTAGGAACATTCTCCAAGACGACAAGTGATGATATGGGTGAAGCAAATCTTGAGCAAGACCATCACTGCTTTGATAGGCTTCTGTTGTTAGGGCTCAGAGCATTACGCTTGCGAGATAAATTCTCCCCTCTTCCATGCTTCCACTCTGTGTACAACCAGATAACGTTACCATGGAAACATGCAGCATCCAACCAATCAGCAATCAATACCCTCCCTCCGACCTGCTCCTCTCATGATATGCAAACAATTATTACCTTCAGCAGGAAAAATAAGAGTATGTGAGGTGGGACGTTTCCATGTCCTCATCTCACTGTCTGCAGTTTTCAGCCCAAGGACAGGAGGTCTATAAGAGTGATGTTTTCCATTGTGTGGGATTAATGCCTTGTGCAGAGTCAAATCCCACACACAAAAGCAGAGACAGACCCAACAGCACACATCACTGACTCTGGGAGTTAAATGCAGCTCAGAGGAAATTAATTTCCCTTACATTAACACAATTACATTACAGTCTAATGTGCTTTTGATGGCTGGAGCATGCCGTCTCTGAAAGTACTACATATTCACAGCGCAATTATTCCACCTAGAATTGCCTTAATGAAAAATATACTGACATCCAGCAGTTAATCACTTGCTTGGTACTACATAAGTTATGGCTTGCTGGGGTCTGTGATTGGTTACAAATGATCAATAATTAGGACTGCAAGACATTATGAACTCTCAGTTATTGCTATAGACATCAGTATCATTGCAACTAATTATTGACCACCATTCTTTATGTATGTTATTGATCCCTGCCTGAGAAATTAAATGGATAATAATTAAAGGTAGCTTGAAGTCCTTCATTGTGGGAGAGTAAAACCCAAACAATAAAAACATTTAAACATTGGTAAACTTACATTCACAGTGCCATAATGTTAGAACAGCATCTGTGAGAAACGGCTGTGGTTATTCAGTCTCATACATAATATATAATAACAGTATTGTCTTGAGAACCCAACTCGGCAACATTGCACAGGATGAAATGTAGAAGAAACCTTAAAATAAATATTTTAATATAACCACATCAATCTGCGGTTGAAAATTGTCATCATTTTAAATATTCCAGATGCATATAACTTGGTGCAGAAAATACCTTTTTTTTTTTTATTATTATTTAAATATTTTTCTATAATGTGGCCTGGGTGTATTGAGCTTAAAAATGACAAAAAATAAAGTGGTCCATATAACTTGAGCACCAAATCTTCCAAAGCAATACATTTGTGACAGAAAAAGGCTTAAATTTAAACGCTATGTGCTTAAAATCTTCATCTTCACCATAGTTCTCAAATCTCATTTGTGCATCTGCTCATTTCAAAAAGAATTGTATGTGCTCAAAAAAAAGAAAGGCCAGTAAATTCTCAAGTGTGTAGAACAAAAAAGGTAGTATCAGTCAAGTAACTGAAATTGCCCGCACACTAAGAAAAATCATTTTGAATACTTTTTCACATGCAAAATTTTTTTTATTGTACATAAATATTATCAGTGTTTTGCAATAAAATACTACTTGACATTTCTTTGTAATTATGAAATGTACTAGCAATTTCTGAGTGGAAATTGTTTCTACACCATTTTTTTCAGTGTTTACATTTTAGAATTCAGATTTGGGTTTATTTTGGGTGAACCCTTTATAGTTACACTCTGTTATAGAACGCAAATAACTTTTTTGCAACCCTAACAAATGTATTACTCACTTGATTTATTTGAACCCACATACCAGTCATTTAAAAGCCAATTATTTGACCCTCAGTCTAATCAAAGCAATTTGTCACCCATTTCTACACTTTGATTTACCGGTCTTAAACCAGCACAATGGCTGAGCTTGCGGTACAAATTAGTTATTTGCAATGACTCGGCTGACTGACTCGGGCAGCATTTTTTATGAAGCACCCTCAAGGGCACCACTCCACATGCACTGAGTTTTTCACGCGCACACAAACCACCATCGCTTCAGGTTCTTTTGCTCTTGGTCAGCGAAGCCGCCGGTGCTTTTGCGAGTCATTGATTAATTGCGGTCATTAGGCGGCGAGAGAATGGCCTCACCTGGAGTTAGAGGTGGAAATCAACGGGAGATTAAAATTAATCACTGAAAAGCGCCAGTACCGCCAGTAGCCTGCGGAGAGCAGGATGAAGAGGAGGGAATGAGTGAATATCTCAGTGAAAGTGTGTAGAACGATAGTAGTTTCATTTTTATTCAAAAATACATCACAAAAGCACACAAAAATAAGAGGAGGGTTTTACATGATGTGCAAACCAAACAAACAGGAAGAAAAAAAGTTATTATTAGTACAGTTTTCTAAAGAAAACATCTACAGTTAATAATCATTGGTTGTCTCTTATTAGTAAGGAAAGTATCTATCTCTTTAAATGGCACTGTACAGAGAACCGGCCTAACCTCTACTGTAATGAAATACCAAATGGGCCCCATCCAAACAGAAAACAGATGATTCGGTTCAAGGATGTCAATTCGCACAGCTAGCAGTAAAGGTTTGCTGATCAAAGATCAGATTTCCATGTTTACACTGGCATTAGTCTCCGTGTTTAAACAAGCTGAACTGATCCTGTAACAGCAACTCTATTCTTAAAGGCTTAATAAATAAAAGCCAGGGAAATCGCAAGTGCGTGTGCTTTTGGGTAATGACAACATATGCATAATAAATGTTAATAATACCGTATCCAGATGGTGGATGATTAGCCTGATCATGCTCTTGACCTTCATCAAATTCATAGCCCGAGCGGCAGCATATTACAGCCGTAAAGACAAACGCAATCAAACATTAAAGTAAATATATTTACACATTCAACAGGAACCCTGGTCAAAAGACAAGCAGATTGTGAAAAGACTGCTATTTGTGTACAAAAGACACACAAGACAGGCAGACAGCATATAGTTGTCAGCATACACAATACCCTTCCATGAGACCAAATCCAGCATTTATGAGAAAAAAAAAACTGTTCATTATACATCTATGAATATATCGAGTAATATTGGTCACACAGAAACTGGCAACAAATCATGTAATGTTAAAATCTGCATTACTCATCCTTAATCAAAATATACTTTAAATGATGATTGTTTTGTAATTGTTCATGTGTTATTTACCTTACACTGCTGACATGGACCCACCAGCGACACCAGTTCATTACACCCAAAGTTAAAAAAGGTACAGAGAGAACATCAGGATGACCCTGCGGGATGAAATATACAGTAACCCAAACAATAAGAATGACTGTTCCCTCAAGACTGGTGACACTCACTGTGGTGAATACGGTGACTTAAGAGTGTTAAAACTAATCCTAATCAATACACTATTCATAAACATTCAAGTCTTTTAAAAATTTATGGACAATCTTTCATTAAGTCGACCTCCTTAAATTGGTTTAAATTGTCATCAACAAATCCTTCAGTAAAATGTCCTTAATCTAATAAATCAATTACAAAATAACATGTCAAATTGACAATCAGCTTTAAAGCGGGATGAGTTGAGCCAGGCCAAATGCAGATTTGGGATTAGCATCTCCGAGACATCTGTGATCAGCTTTTCTGGCCTGGCGTGGGCAGAGGAGTGGTGGTGACTGGTGCCGTTGGTTTTCAAACTTGCCAAAGTCTGATTGCTCAGTGAACCATATTTTACCACCCAGCTTGAGCATCTTTTGAAATAAACCCTTTAATCTTATTTATTTTGATGACTACCACTATGCTGCAGGTTTGGGGGAAGTGGAGGTTTGTGTGTCACAAGCCAATCAACGCATAAGCAAACAACCAATCAGAGACTTGAACACTAATCACACTGACATGTACCCATGGGGGTTTACAACTGCCAAATGGTCCATAAAAATCAAAGCAGGTTAAGAATCACAGTATTAGCTCATTGTCAGATAAATCAATTTCATGTTCATATATACACATCACATGTAAATAATTTTCAATCCAAACGCTTTTATCTTTTTTAAAAACAATCTCATCCAGAAACCAAAGCCAACCCACATATTTTTCCACAGACTTTGAGTAAATATTTACCAGGCTTTTGTAGCATGAAGAGATAATAATTGTCATAGATAAATGGTTTAAAGTTGCCTGAAAATGTTTCAAACTGATAAAAAAGCAAAAAGAATAACAAATAGCATGGGAGTTTTTTTTATCTAAAGCCAAGAACTATGGTTTGTTCTACATACATTTCATTTAGTTCAATGGGTTTAATTTCATCTCTGGAGAACACTTAATAGGCAAACAATTCAAGTGCCTTGTATTAGATAGGGCCTTCTATTTTTAAAAAGAAAAAAAGAAAAAAGAACATCATGCATTGCATTATTTACAAAACAGGAGCAGGTGAATCAATCACCTTTCCGCATCCTATTGAATAAAGTTTTTTGTTAATGTTTGTTGAAGTTCTGTGAGTCAAATTGTATTATGAGAGATGGTACAGCTGAGTTCGACTCTCTGCAGAAACCTTCATTTGCTCCTTCACAAATTACGCTAGAACAATGAATAGAATAGTGACAGTCTAAATTGTGTGGAGAATGATCCCAGTTCAGATTTACACAATGGACCCATCCCTGTTCTGGGCAGGGACCATGACAGGGATAGCCCCCATGCGGCTGAGGTTGGGGCCGGCCATTCTGCTGGGTGGGGGAATAGGGGCGTGACTAGGTGGCCTCACGTACTCTTCAGAGGGTATCTTGTCATATTGGGGCTTGGTGTACTCATGCAGGTTGGAGGGAGACATGGAGCCCAGAGAGGAGCGCTGGCTGCCCACGCTGGTGAAACTGCGTGCGGTGGAAACACGACTCTTTGGAGGGGGGACATCCTCTCTGTGGGAGGGAGGGAAAATAGTGTTCAATCAAAACCAGTGAGGGAACCATCAGATTTCTTTCTGCACTTTAAAAAAACATTTTACATACATTTTACAACTAACTGTAAATTGTCACAAAATGGTCAAATTACAACATTTACATAGGTAATATACTCCTTTTCCTTTTTGCTTGTTTGTTTTGCTTGTTGGTTAGATCACATAACTTTGTTGGTTGCACCATATGACTGATTTGGCAGACTAAATTTATGCAGTTTTGTTAATACACTACTGTGTAAAAGTTTTTTTTTAAAGGGGTCATATGATGCAATTTCAAATTTTCCTTTCTCTTTGGAGTGTTACAAGCTGTTTGTGCATAGATAAGATCCCTAAAGTTGCAAAGACTAAAGTCTCAAACCCAAAGAGATATTCTTTATAAAAGTTAAGACTTGTCCACGCCCTCCTAAAACGCCTCGTTTAAACACGCCCCCACGTCTACGTCACTGTGTGGGAA